AGAAGGCAGCATTCATTCTCTCTCAGGCAACAAATAAGTCACTGGCACAGTGCTTTGTGTGGCAGGGAATAAAATTGAACCATTGATGATGCTGGCACCAAAACCAAACTTCTTACAGCAGTGGCTTCAAAGTGGAATTAAAGGTACAATATCTAGATGTTGATCAAGAGGTTTTCTTCAGCTCACAGGAAAAAAGAAAAAAAAATTAAAAAGAAGTGTAGCAGTAGTTCAGTAAAAGTTTTGAACAAGAGAAAAGCCCTAGATAGTTGTCTTCGGATTCTTCACCAGGGCAAACAGTGCTTCAAGGACAAGTAGGAAAGTAGCTGCTATTTGAGGCAACTTCATTATAAAATCATTTTTAATAAGCAATCTGAACAAAGAGAGGGAGTGCTCTTGCAGAGAAGCCCCCAAGGGATCTTAAGGCTGCCCAGTAAAGTTATTAGGAGGTTACACACAGGGGACCAAACAGCTATTTTATTGGCCTCGGGGGACAGGGTTTAGATTTCACCTGTTCTCTTTAGGCCTTGGTGCTAACAGCAGATCCTGTTAACCATCAGTTTTCTGCAGGCTCCTATTTTGTGAGGGAAAAGTATCATTTTCTTACTCTAGCTCGCACACGAAACACAAAAGGTGAAGCAGACAGCACAATTATAAATCAGATCAGGAAAAAAAATCACAGTTATTTTCCCTTTAATGCAATTAAGCAAGATAACTAACAAACGTTGAGAAATATTTTGCAGTGGCTATAAATATAATGTAGAAAGTAAAACCAGAAAAGAGAAATCCAGGTCTTGGGTTCAATTAAGCTGCAAACCTTAATACGCTTGTAGAACTTTGGTGAACAACAGTTCTAGGATATTTGGCCATCTGAGAAGCTGAAGAGCTGTCTCCTGCCCCAAATCAGCCTCTTAAGTTTCTAACAAGTGATGTACTTTTCTTAGCAACTGCTTAGAGCCAAAGATATGAAAGGCATGATTTAGGAATTGATCTCTGCTCAGGAAAGTATTAAGAGCGTGTCTATACCTAAAGAACAAGACCCTCCCTTTTTTGGCTAGTCGTGCTGCAGTAGCAATGACGAGACAGCTCTCCAAGCTCCCGTCAACGGTTTACGGGCTTGTCTCAATAGATACCCATTTTCCTGACATCTGAACTTAGTCACTCCAGCTTCTGAGGTCCTGTTATGTATAGCAGGCAGTGTACAGTCAAGCTGATCTCCCTGTGGTGTAATCAAACCTTTCACTTGCAGTGTGAATTTGAAACATGAACTGACCTCCTAGCCTGGAGGTACGCCTTATCAAAGTACGCAGAGTCAAGACACTTCTCTAGACCAACACCTACTACAAGGTGAGTGTAGGAAAAGTCCCGGAGTGAGGGACGGGGTTGGGAGAGGTGCTTGGTGTGGATCTCAGGTAGCAGCAGCGATGGGCTTACTTCCACCCTTTGCCGACAAAGTGGCCAGCTCTTCATGCAAAAGCTTTTATTTAGTGACAAACATTAAAAGCACACAGTTCCCACTTCATTTTCCAGCGGGAGCGCAGGTCATTAAAATCAGCATCTAGCTTTGGAAACATTTTTTATCTGCCAGAAATCAAATAAAAGGATAATTTTGGTGTAAGTAAGGTATATTTCATCCAAAATTAAGGAATTCATACAGAGATGCCTACTGACATAATTGTTCAAAAAAAACTATTCTAGAATAACTATTTTGGTAAATCACGAAAAGCAGAAAAGTCCCAAGTCTGAAATAAAGGGCAAACATCTTAGAGTTACAAAGGAGTCTTAATCCATAGAGGTTTTTGGTGTAAGTATTTTCTGTTAAATCTGGATGTATCTTGGGTTATGAAAATTTAAAATATACAGTGCTGAATGTCATACCCAAGTACATCTACTCACATTACAAGCACACACAGATAATAAAAGATCAACAAAATTAGTCCACGCATCATTAGTAGTGGTTTCCTCACTGTCATACCTACCACAACACAATCTACAAAGCACAATCACCAGACACCGTTTCTGCCAGTATCACACGTTACTGTGTGAGGCAGTGACACTCAGAATAAAGAAGCAAGTGTCAAAACCTGTAGTAGTAGGTAATAACTTGTGGTAACGTGCCGAAATGTGCTACCATTTGATTCAGAAATGACCTAAGCACCTGTCATCAGCATAGCAGTCCAATTTCAGCTGACAGAACGCTTTTGTCACAGGCTAATGCCAAGAAGGGGTAAAATATACCCAAAATCTCAAAACAATAAACCCAGGAAGAACTAAGTAGTGGAGACAGACCACCACTGATTTCAAAACCTGCGCAATTAAGATGGCTATTAGAATGAAGTCTGAAAAGGATTAATCTGATGTTTCAAATGCATAATGCATCAAACTTTCTGGCATTGTACTCCATTAATTAAGCGAAAAGGTCATTAGAAATAAGTGCCAGTTTACAGTCAGTCCACACTTTCATATGCCATACATGGTAAATTTGGAATAAGATGACTTCGTCCCTATTTCTAAACAGTAATGCAGACAACATATACACACTTCACAAAGTGTTTGTGAGAATCTTTTTTGAAATTTCTTTGCAGAAACCCTACTCTATGTAACTTAATTTGGATATGCTATACATACCGATATAGAGTGATAGGCAAACTCTAGATCGACTGGATGTATAAAAACTCTCCCCTTGTCATTTGTAGTTAACTGAGATCTGAGTTGAAATCTTTGAATTTAGGTGTTTACATAAAAATTACTTTTTTCCAAGTCATTCCAAAACTGTGAATTTTTATGTCTACTTCTTCTATTCGATAATAAAAAAAAATTCTAAGCAATAAGGAAAAAAATGCTTATTGTGCATGATGCTGAAACTCCAAAGATGCAGAATTTATGTTAATTCCTGCTCTATGAGAATTTGTCATCACAGGCATGAATTCTAAAAGAGCTTCAACCAAAACTGAAAGAAACCTCATACTTATTTGCTAGCAAACATAGACTGCATTTTCATCATATTGCTCCTTCTATTTTAATCCTTTCTTAATGGGCAAGCTTATCTTCCCATTATTCAGGGAACTTTTTTGTTCATGCTTCAGCAATTGCATGACAACTGATTAACAAATTGGGGAACCAGCCTTCGACAGTTCTCTTGGATTAGCACAAACAGAGTTCTCACCAGAGAAGATGCTGGGACCCTAATTTCTGTCTTAACTAGACTAAAGGCCATGTACGGTGAACAGTAGCTAAGCAGCTAACACAGCTGATGGGCACATCTTTTTTTCATCATAGGCCTCCTCAAACATAGCATCTGCTGAGATACACGTGATGACAACAATTTATCAGTCTGGTATGGCTTAATAGCATATTTCCTACGCTCTTTAAGTCTGTGGTTACTATTTAATCTTCCTTACAAAAAGTATGGACTACTGGAACTGGAGATGTGACTCTTCTGGCAGGCCAGTACACGGCACTGCTGTACACAAATGAGATAGGGTGATCTCAGCTGGTTTCCAGGTGGAGCGTTACAAACCACCATGTACAGTCCTTAGCCTCTCTACAAGACAGGCCCGAGACTGAGCTAGCATAAATACCGAATTACTTACCACCTCTAGAGAGGGTGGTCGCTCCAGGCCAGGGCTGAGCTCATGGGCAAGGCTGTGCAAGGAAGCTGTCTGTACAATGCCTGGCCTGCGGATATACAGAGGACTTCAGTCTCCTGTACTGTCAATCTCAGTCAGCATGAGCTCAAATATTCACCAAAACCCTCAGGGTGAAATTCTGCCCGCATATGCCTATCTGTAGCTCTCATTGAGTTCAGTGGAAACCGTATACACATTCAGCCAAAAAGGATCTGATGCTAAGAATGCATTAAGCAGCAAGCCCACCTAAGTAGAGGAGGACCATCATGCTCTAAGTTTGTGACTTCTAACATTTGCTTCAAAACTCTCACAAATCAGCTTCTCATCTGAAATTCTTAAATCCAGCACCTGTATTCGGTAACTCCATTGGTGAGAATTCATAATCTCAAGCCAGATTTTTCATTACATGAATATTTTAAAACCAGGAATGAAATAAGAATTAAACTAATGTAAGACACTTTACGATACCACTTTAACCCTAGAAGCTGCGTTGAGCATAATTCAAATGCAGAACTCTGTTCAAAAGCAGGTGTATCTGTAAATGCTGTGCAGCCTACCACCTGTTTGTTAGCAGGCTTTCACGAGACTAACGGCCTCAGCTTTAGCCTGCTCCTGTTGTAGACCCTGCACTACTAGATTTCCAAACCTCCACAGTATCCGAAGCATCTCAACACACCTCTTTCAGCTACCAATTGTATATTGTCTTGGGACTGTGCTTTTAACTCACTGCAGAGTAGATGGGAGTTGATCCCCAATAACGGTATCTTTGAAGAAGATTCAGAATAAACGTACACATAAGTAAATGCACACATCCACATCCATTTCAGAGGCTGCCATTTATGAGGACTGCTAATATGGTTGAGAGCAAAACAATAACCTCCTCATTCTCATCAAGAGCTCCTTAAGCACAAGGACAGAATGATTTACCTCACAGATTAATGCACAGGAAAGGTCAGAAGACTTTCAGTTAAATAATTTATTTTTATTTGCATCATACTGCATATATAACAAACATACAAAAATACAGCCATTCTCCTCACCTGTATTCTTTGAATATGTTACCTATCAGCTAGCTGTAAGGTATACATACTAGACAGAATAAGGAATTCTTTCTTCACAACTTTGTTTTTCTGCCCTGTGACTTAACACATATGTGAATGCACACATACATATACACACGTACACATGCATTGTATAATCATTTAGACAACATTTCAGGCGAGGACTGGAACCATTCTAAAGCAGAAAAACAAACAGAATTTTTAAAACGGAACCTTCTCAGACCAGACCGACACCAAATAGTCTGAGTGCCACAGCACAGCCTAACATGAATACCATTTGTAAGAGAAGGCCAAATCAAAAGATATTACTTACATGTATGAGTCTTCTTTGTTACAGAAACACCTGTAGGGAAGAAATGACACCAATGTTAGCAAAGCGACCACTGAGTAAATTCTTCTGACGTGTATTTCAACATTAAACTATTTTCTTTCAGACACACAGCGGCCACTACAAGGGGAACGAAAATTGCAGTGACTTGTATGTGAGGGGGGGAGGATCTCTCTTCTTTGCGTGCAGACTGTAATGGTCTATTCTCTCCTTACACCTCATCAATAAATGTTTCAACGTGTAATGCTTAAATTTTGTTGTTGGAATGCATATTTATGTGCTGCTGTTTTAAAATGGAATCTGATGCAAACAGAAGATACCAACAACACTACAGAAGCTCCCTTCTGTTTTCCACGGTTAAAAATTTTCCCACATTCATATTAACTACTGCACATCAAAATACCCAGACAACAGATCTGAGCAGCGCAATCATTCATTCGCTATGTTATTAAGTTCAAGTAGTTCCTTGACAGCAAGCTGTAGCTTACGCTCATTAAAACCAAATGAACAGCTCTCTCGGTATGAGTATTACTTGCCATAATTCCAACCCAGACGCAAATATCTCCAAGCTGTTAAATACGTAATTTCTGAAGTAATAAAGATGTTTTCATGCTAGACAGGCATGTGGCGGCAATAACCAACGATGGTCCAGTGCCAGTGAAATTGAGAGGCATTTTAAAGAAAGCAACAGAGTGAACAGAACGAGGCAAAAATCATAACACCAAATAAAGATAAAATTAACTCTGTTAAATGTCATCAGAACTCATGCTTGAACACAAACACTATTGTCTCCACTTTAGTAGATAACTGGTGCTGTACTCAGACCCCTCAGTATCTAAGCTTCACTCTCCTTGGGGGGAATTTTATGAGAAAAGAAAGAGGTTACTGGAAGCAGTACAAGTATTTGAAACATTTCATTTGTGATTAAGGCCTGTAATGAAATTTTGGAATTGGAATCGTTTGGCTTACTATTCATGAAAGACAGAGACTCTCCCCCAGCTACCCTCCTATTCCCTTAACCACCTCTTCCAAAAACAAATTACTATGGAAAAACAGGATTTTATTTCAGGCTTCTTTGTTGTGGAACATCTCAGGGAGGCAGTAGGTTATAATAATTCAGAAAAATATAGATACCTTATTTGAAAATTTAGAGCTAACTTTCAGAGCCAACAGTTTTCAAACTATTCATGTTTTTGGTAGATACGTAAATCCACAGTGCCAACCCCAAATATGTAGTTGTCAAGTTTGACATAAATATCATGAGGATTTTTTTTTCTAATCGCACTTGTGTTGCTATTGGCCTTTTGGTTTTGAACCACTGAGTTCTACAAGCATGAGCACTGGAAAATTTCTTTCACCCAGAAAGCTGAGTGGCTCCAGGCTTTGGGAAGAGAAGTTCTGAGCACTTCCTTTGAGCAATTTTGTAAATGTGAGAAACTGGTAAGCAATTTACAAAAATCAGAATACTAGAACTTGATTATGTATGTGTGCCGACTTCAATTGAAAGGTTCCAGCCAAATCTGCACATTCCTCATGCTAGCAATTAGGGTTGTAGCATCAAACTGTAGAGCCAGGGTAAGCAATAAGAACCAAAGGAAAACAAGCGTAATAAAAATCAGACCTTTTAGTTACGTAAGTAGCTACTAGAGGGGGCAAATTCATCCTTTAAATTCATATCTTATAAGAGCAAACTTTCTCGGATTTTCAATCTGGTCCAATCGTTACTGGTTTGCTCAGAGTAGGTGGACAGGGCGGCTGCGTGTGTCACGGAGGTCAGCGTTATTATAGGAACAATAGCTTGAGGCAAGAAGGGGGGCAAAGCGAAAAGAAGCAGAGAGATCTGAAGTATCGACATCAAAATGCATGAACCGTATCTTGTGCACTCTTTGGTACGAGCGCAAAAAAACCCTCTCTCTAGGTTTTTCTAAAGGTCTGCCTTACCCTTTGTGAAACTACAGCTGTCATCAGGACATCTGTTCGTCCACCAAGGAAGAGTATTTTTGCTGCTGTTTGACTTCTTGAGTGACCACTGAATAGCATGTACAGCTCCTGACAGAGCCTTCACCATCACAAAGTGCCCTAGCATTCCGTTGGCGGAAGCACTTGCATGCCCTTGCCTATCTGGCCAGCTCCTACCGTTTTAACGATGTTTTACAGAATGGGAAATAGGGAGAAAAAGGTCTTATATCTGAACACCATTTGCAAAGCTTCCTCTCCCAACACTGGTGCTAATAAATGGATACATCAGTGCTCTTTCAGCATTATGGGAGCCATATGTGTACTTTTCTCAGAAAATAATGCTTTCTGTAAAATCACTTTGAACAGAAAGTGCTTATGCTGTCACTTCTGATTACTCACAGCCCCTTCACAATGGGATTTGCCACAGCACAAAACAGACTTAGCTGACTGAGGGCCTACTTTCCCCTGATACATGAAACAGGGATGGAAATATTAGTGCTTAGATTTTTCTACCTATATATATATTTTTTTTAAATACGAGAGGAGTGGTGGGTTTTTCCAATCAGATGTTTCCATAACAATTACCGATTACCATCTGGTAAGGCCTTTTAGCTGTTTTATGCAGATATTTTTAGATAACCTTTTAAAGCAACAGCTTAGAGCTAGGCTTTTTTGCATCTTCATAATTACACTGGTAGTTGCAGTGAAACCAAAGTCTTTTGCTTTGAACTGTGGTTTTATACCGACTAACTGCAATCTGGTGGAACAAGTATAAATGTTGCCAGTGAGTTCAACAGGATTAGATTTAAATTAATCAGGAATTTTTACTTGCAGTAAAATGAGTTGTGAATTTTTAAGAAGTCTTCCCTTTCACAGCGGTAACTGTAAATTACTAGAAAAACTGAGCAAAAAATGTACCGGCATATTCAAACAGTTATTTAGGTTAGATACATTATAACTAGTGCTTTAAATATAATTATAAAGTATGGAACACATTCCTACATCATTGCAATCAGTTTTAGTTTTAATGCAGGAAGCCAATGTCTCTGCTATTCAGAACATCCAAGAAGTATAACAATCTCCTAGAAATAAGTGTATTATGAAAAAAAAATCAGTCTGAAAACTACTTTATGTGAGAGAGGAGTTACATGATCTTTGGCTTTCTTTGGGCCAGTGCTAGCTCCCACTTGCGTATATGGTTGAATGCCTTTCCTATGAGATGTACCCTAGAAGTCTTACGCAGACAAGTCATCAGTTTTTGAAATTAAAAGGATGTCTTCAGAAACAAATCCTGCAAGTCCAACATACATCAGTAATTTTCTTCACAAGATTAGGCATGATTAACTGGGATTGCTCTCGTTTGTAAATATTTCTGGAAGTGGACAATCAGTTTACATAGATTTGAGTAGACACCATACAATAAGATCTAAACCTAATACACCACTGAAAGACCAAGACTTGTTTATTTTAAATAAGTGGAGCACAAAGAACCTACTGATTCCTTTCAAAATATTACTGCATGTAAAATCCCATGTCTTAATGGGCTTCACTTCAAAATGCGGTAGACTGGAGTAATATGTGACTGCTTGCCACTACTTGGCATGCTCTCCCACCACCCACATTATCCGTAACAGCCAGCCTTCCATTCTTATTTAACAAAAAAAAAAAAATCAAGAGAGGAAGAAACAACCCCAACTTCAGTGCTGCTAATACAGAAAGACTTCCTGACTTAACCAACTACACTTCAAAGGAAAGCAAAGGAAATGTCATGAAAATACCACAATATATCACCGCCATAGTTACCAGTGAGTGAAAGTTTCAGTATTACAGTTATCACAGAATTTATCACTTCAGCAGTGCAATCTGACATTCCTGATCAACATTAAATCTTCAACAAATTAACTTCTTAGACTTCTGATTGTTGCTCTGCAATGCTCTTTGCAACAACAATCGTTTTTTTAAATGAAAGGAATTCACGCACCATTCCCTTTCCCCCTCCCACTAACAATATGTAATTTGCCATGATGGGTGGTATTTACAAAAATAGCTTTCTGGATGAAAAGAATTTTGAAAAGAGTATCTACCAACAGAGACAGGATACTCTTTTGCAAGCGGTTAGCCTGACTGACCTTCACTAGCCAACTTCAAATATAGATAACAATGTCTTGAAGTACAAAAAGAGACTCAGATATTTTATACATCATAAGCTATTTCTCACAGTTGCCCATCCTAATAAAGAAGCATAATGAAACACTGCTTAGTCTGTGAACGCAGATCCCTGCTGCTGTCGTACAGTTGTCAACTTCCCATATTTCAAGGAGAAAACATACTTTGATGTACAGAAAGATAACTAAAAAGTCCCCTGTCTGGCAGAATACATTACACTGCAAAAAATCAAAGGAGGATATCCTAGAGTGCAATTTTCTCAAACCTCCAAGAAAACTCTTCCTCGGAAGTCGTTATGGATAAACACATGCACCATCGGCAAAGCCCGTAAGAAATCTCCAGGACTTCTGTTAAGCACCATTGTGTTTCCTTTGCTTTGCCTTTTGTGCCAAAATCAGGTGATGAACATTGGTCTGATGACAACGTAGCTATGTAGATGGTATAATTCTACGATGCCTTGCACATGTGGGCGTGTGTATTGATTTTCTTTCTTTCTTTTTTTTCTTCCTTTACTTTCTTCTGCCCTCTCCTCAAGCCAGCGCTATGGCTCTAGTGTGTTTTGGAACTTAGTCATTTAAAGGATTGGAAAATAAAGTTAAAACTTTAAACTCTAAGCCTCCTGCCTGATGTATTGTGTAAAATTAGAAAGAAAATGTATTACAAGCTTGGATCCCACTGTGTTTCACCCTGTCACTCCACTTCTTTTTTACAGTGTCACTACACAAAGCTAGCAATTAAGGTGGAAGATTATAGGTAACACTCGGGCACTGGCAGAGAACCTACCAAAGCAAAATAATAGATTTGGGTGTATTCAGAAAGGAGTTCATTCTTTTTGAAACTTTAATAATGGTTTATATTAAAGTCTGTAAGGATCCCTGGCTTGAAGGAAT